GCTCTTTCTCTCTTTCGAAGAGCGAATTAATAGTCGTTGCGTATCAATGTATAGATCAAGAGACACGGTAATGTACCGTGCCAAGTCACGCGCAGCAACAGCGAAGCATCCCGTGTATCTATATGTGAGTTGGCCAGTTGAGAGTACCTGAGATTTTCAGATTTTAATAATGGCTGAAGCGATCGAGTTCTTACTAGGCTTAATCGACAGTTTGAATTCGAATTATATAAAGAAAGTATTTTGTAAAATATATTTGTATAACTTTTTTTGATTAAAATATTTTTATAAGTTTTTATTTTCAATAATTTAAAATAACACTATTTTGTGTTATTCTTACATCAATTATCTCAAACATTTAACATACAAGTTGTTTTTAGCATTGTTATAGTTTTATTTAGTATATAACTATAAAAATTCTGTGCAAATTTGTAAGTATCATAAATCTATAAATATACTTTTATTGCTATGCAAAGATACAAAGTTGCTTTGTAATAAGCTTTGTAATAAAGAAGTATTTAATGAAGCATTCACAAACTCTGTCATAAATAAAGAATTATTTTTAAAATTTTTATCTGATTCTTATCAAAATTATTACTCCATTACATTGTGATTTGATATAATATACAAATTATTGTATATAATTATTGCGATTGTTTAAAAGCGTTTCTCTCTTTTTGTTTTTGTTGTTTATTTAATTGTTAAAAATTTCCTTAAAGATAATATGATATACATCTAATAAGATTGTAACAATCAAACCAAAAGCTAACAACTTGTGGTATTTGAGGAAACTTATGTAAAAATCACGCGCTTACACTAATTATGATATTATTAACCATATTGTTCAGATTTTGCAATAAAATGTTACAAAATTTTATTCATACAAATACTGCTGACTACCTAATAGAATGCGATGATCAATTGAAACACTATTAAAATGGAATTACAAATCTCTTCAAGCAGATTCATGTACCGTAAAATAAATCTATACGAACTGACAATAAAAATCTGAAGCCTATATTCATAGCCGTTTTCCAGCTAAAGAGTGTATTAATAATGAGAGTTTATCAGAAATAAAGAGAAATATAAGCACTACAAAATTTTATTTTTTTCATTTAACATGTTTCTGAAAAAATAAAAATTTAATGTAATAAAGATATAAAGATCCAAAACTAATAAAATATTAGAGAGAAAGATTATATATAAAAGTAAAAAAAGAATTGGAATTTCATTAATTTCTTACATTCATGTGATATCTGTGTTAGTTCTAAACGATTATTTGCGGCTGATTGGGATAAATTTTATATGAACCGGATGAGAAGGACGAATTATCATATCGAGTCTCAACTGCATATCCTTTAAATAATTTATGGGTTCCGGTAAAAATTGTGCACCAAAGGAGCAATCATAGCTTTCAACTCTAGCAGACCGAATTGTTGACCTACAATTCGAAGACTTATCAAAAACTATCAATACGAGGAGAAATGAGAATCGCGAGCAATTCACCTATGCAATTCCTCGGTCCTGCGCTGAACGGTAAATAGGAATAAGGATGACGATTCCGTATCCCCTCGGGCAAAAATCTATCCGGATCAAATACTTCTGGATTTGACCAAAAATTGGGATCTCTGTGAACTCCGAAGATATTAAGATGTAAGGTTGTTCCAGCAGGTACGACATATCTGAAGTCTGAAAAGCATATTATAAAATTACAAAATATAAAAATTTATGAAATTGAGAGTTCTTTTGAGAAATAACATGAATATATAATATTGTATTCTTAAAGTGTTAAAACTTATTTTACATTTGATAATATATACTTTAATATATATTATAAAATGTGACATGTTCAAAGATATAAGCAGCAAAAAAAGTGATTAATTACGTAATTTTACATCCTCCTCGACGTTTCGTACTATAAAAGACACGACGGGATATAAACGTAGCGTTTCCTTTAAACATCTGTCTAAATATA